TCGTTTATGATTTATTCTAAACCAAAATGAAACTTACAATTACTTGAATTCTAAACCTAAATTAAACCAAACAGGGTAAATTTTTGGAAAGGAGATCATCGTTTTTCAACTCAATCAAAAACATAAATACATATTGAATAGAATTATTATCCATCACTAATCAGAATTCTTCTGGAAGAAATCATCTGGTAATTTTTTTTTTGAAGTAACTTCTATTGCAAGTTAGGTCTCATATGTGTACGTTTCTTTTCTTTACTCAAACAAGAATAGATAGAACAACAAAAGAATTGAAACAAACATAACATGAAGTTACCATTACCATTATCAGCCAAAAAGGACGTAGCATAAAGCAATTCTTGAACCAATCAAAAGAAGCTTAGCAAACGCACTGTTATTGACAATGAGATAATCAAGACAGAGAGTCTTAACCTTTGGAAGATAAAACATTCTGCATATCAGTGGTGAGAACAGCCAAAATTCCTATTTTCAAGCTAACCAAAGTCTCGTTCACAAACATCTCCAAAGGAAGCAGACAGTCCAATTCCGTGGTCGAGATATGTAGATCAAGATCTGATACGCCACGGTCCAACACCTTGAGTGTCCAACCAATCACAATGGCTGGATTAACAATATCTCTACACTTAAGTGAGAATCTGTTTAAAGGAACATTATGATGCAAAACCACAAAATTTCTAGGGATTTTACCCTTCTTTTTGGTTGTCCACGGAAAAGTAATCTTCTTTTGTGGATTTTGTAGATAGACAGAGTCATCAAAATCAAGAATCTCCACCTTTTGGCTAGAACAGATGTTGAAGCAGCTTCTTTAGTGGGAAGGAAAGACAAGATGTGAGAAATAAGACAATCTGGTAAACCACTGATTAAATCTCTTGAACCAAGATTCATCTTTTTGGAAGACATAGTGACCACAGACATGAACATAATGCGTTCTTCTGACAAATCGAGGATTTTGCTCAAGAATATATCAGTTTACAGCAGTAAGTAAGCACCTAAGACAAAAAAAAAAAACAAATCAACAAGGTTACTTTGTTTGTAGTCTTCATCAACTTTACTGAGTAGCAATAAAACTATAAAGCGTGAAAATGGGACTGACCTCAAGAGTGTGATCAGACAAGTAAAGGATCTTGACATTGCATATTCCCATAAGAAAATTTGTTGCATTACCAACCATCACTTCCGGAGGTGATCTATCATCATTTGAAATTTTTGCCTTGACGATCTGATCAGTTGTCATTCGAAGATCGAGACTAGCTTCAACAAACGAATTAAAATTCACTTTCGGATACTTGTGCGCAATAGTATCAGAGTATTTGAGGTAGACAAGATTTGGAGTATCAAATGACACGCTCTTGTGATTTTGATCAAACATTCTCGGACGACGAAAGATTAGTCTCTTGACGGTTCTGTTAGAAACAGAGCAAGATCTCGTAAAATCCCACACACAGACAATTGTTCAAAACTAGCTCCTCAAGCGCATGGCAACTCGAAAGAAGCTTAGCCAACGCGCTGTTATTGGCAATGACATAATCAAGACAGAGAGTCTTAACCTTTGGAAGATAAACATCTTTCACATCAATGGTGAGAACATCTCTAATAGCTATTTTCAGCCTAACCAAAGTCTCACTCACAAACATTTCCGAAGGAAGCGGACAATCCAATTGCGTGGAGATTAGTAGATCAAGATCTGATACACCACGATCCAACACCTTGAGTATCCAACCAATGACAATGGCTGGATTAACAATATCTCCACACTTGAGAGAGAATCTGTTTAAAGGAACATTCTGATGCAAAACCAATGCTCTATCCACAAAATCCACAAAACTTCTAGGGATTCTACTCTTCTTTTTGGATGTCCACAGAAAATATTCTTCTTTTGTGGATTTTGTAGAGAGACAGAGTCATCAAAATCAAGATTTGGTGTAAGAGCAAAGAGATATCTCCACCTTTTAGCTAGAACAGATGTTGAAGCAGCTTCTTTAGTGGGAGCAAAAGACAAGATGTGAGAAATAAGATAATCTGGTAAACCACTGATTAAGTCTCTGGAACCAAGATTCATCGTTTTGGAAAACATAGCGACCACAGATCAAACACTTAAAAGCCTGAATATAGACATAAACTTGAGTCAGTAAATTTTGTAACAGAGAAGGTGCAAAATCACTCAAGCATAATGCATAAGCACACAAAGATCAGAAGAAGAGACAAAAAAGAGAAATTTTGTCTCAAGCATAAGTGTTTCAAAAAAAAGACATGAACTTGAGTAAGAAATTTCCAAAAGAGAAAGGTTTCAAAATCACTCTAGCATAAGTACACGCGATCAGAAAAGAGACCAAAAAGAGAAATTTTTACCTAAATATTAAAAGCAGAAAGAACGAAACATATCACCTAAATATTGAAGATCTTTTATCAATATTCAGAAGTTTGGCAACTTGAGGGGAAAGAGGAAAGTGGAAGTCGAAAAGTTAAGGTTCTTGTAGTTAAAATAAAACAATTTTTTATTTGTTTATTTTGTGTTTGTTGTCGTTACTTTTGGCTTCTAATCGATGATCACTAGAGGAATAAAAGTAAACAAAAGTAATGATGAAGAAAAATAATGCAAAAAACAAAAAATTTAGAAATGATAAAAAATTGTAAAAAAAAATTGGTTCATCTTGTTCTTTATCAAATTGGATTATGAATAATTTTGTTTTATAAATTTTTTTGCAGGAGGAGAAATGAAAAGTAACGAAAAGAAATCATTAGCATAAAAAAAATTATAAAGAGTGTAAATTTTGAAAAATGGAAGAAAACTCATTGTTCTTCTTCGTTATTTTACTTTTTTGTGATCGCAGATATATTATTATATTTGTGGATATTTCTCTGACAAATGGAGGATTTGCTCAAGAATCTAAGCAGAAGAGAGGCGAAGTCATTCGGCGGAAACTTAATGCATTGTGACTGACATCATCATTTGTTCAGAAGAATGGGTTACTTTTGACTTTTGCACTCTTAAATCAATTTATAACGTGACAAGTTAGTAAGTTTGAGCTCTTTAACCAAATACAGTAAGTATATTGAGATCAATGTTAGCTCAACTTGATCTATTCACACCCATATAAAAATCAAATAAATTCATCTTAACTAAATTGATATGATTACATGTAGATGAAGTAAATTGGACTAATTTTCGAATTTCGATGGTTAGAAATCCTAACTTAGGGATTATTTTGTGTTGGTTCCAATCTATATACATCCTAGAGTAATAAAACAAGAAAGGGATGAGATTCGTACAAATTTGAAAGATTTCGTGGATTGTATATTGGCATTGGAGAGAATGTTGTTCCAATTGCAGACGAGGGACAAATTTGTGGATTTTTAATGATAGAAGTTTAACATGGTTTGGTAATACCATATTTTCTAATCACAACGGTCACCGTTTTCAACAAACATAAAGTTACAACTTTGATAAGTATCCTTGGTAATTGGTACATGATACCATAATAGATTTCTTGTTTATTTTTCAGATTGGTTAAAGCCAAATCTCTTTATTCCAAGATTGATCTCTATTTAGTAGAAGAGTTTTTGAAAAAAAATTAAGGGATACAATATTATTGAATCCTATTAACTCGAGACCACAACATTCATATATTTTGGGATTGTATAAATTTTATGAAAAGGCGGAAACCAAAAATTTATTTAAAATATTATTTAATATATCATAAAAGATTATTATAACTGTGAAATTTAAACAAAAACCATGGTGATAAAATTTTAAATATTAGAAAAAAAGCAATTATTTTTTACTTATTTTGAAACATTCATAATAATACATTATAAAATCTAATGATGTTATGTAACCCAAATCATAGATGGAATCTTACTTCTAATAATTTATAGTCGAACGACTGTTTAGTGTGGTTATCACATTTCATTTGTTTTTCCACATTAAAAACTAGTATAATGTTAGTTGAGTTAATTTGTGGTCGAAATATTTATTATTATTGTCATTAATTTTTAATTGTTCTACCAAAAAACAAGTATAACACACTTATTTGCTTAATGAATATTTCTTTGTAATTTTGTACAGCCAAAACGCATATTCTGCGTTTTAGAGTTTTTTTCCAGTTTTCCGTAATTTTTTTATCATAAAAAAACCTGCGGAATTGCGTTTTTCCACCATTCCGCAATTATGCAATGTTTACCAATCAAAGCCTTACATTAACATAATACATAAAATTTGACCCAAAAAACAACAACATAATACTCTTTCCGTTCCATGAAGATTGATGTTTTGGTTTTTTCACACAAATTAAGAAATAATTAGTTGTAAGTTATTAATGCATTACTTTTTAATATTAACTATTTTTCAATACATATTAACAATAATAATTCAGAATTTAAATACTTTTAATTAATGTTTTTTAAAATTTACATAAAATATTATTTAACAATC